TGTGTTACCCTTCGCCTCAGGCCATACTGCATGTGGTTCAGCCACAGGTACAGACTCCCTGGCTGCCTCGGTGCTTTGCTTTCCCTCTACCTGGAACACCCTTCCCCCTTTCCTTAGCCAGTCACACTCTGAATTATCCTTTAATTCAGGTGCATCTCTATATGCAGATTCCTCACAATGTTTTCAAAGCTGGTTTGCTCAAAATTCATCTGAAAGGAAACACGGTAAAGACAGATCTCATTGGTCTAATTAAACCCATGTAGCAATATAGTTCTAAAGCCCCAAATCTCCCCTTAAAGGACTAAATGTCTGGGTTCTTAATTCAGGGTCAACATAATCACCAACATTTGTTTCTTTTCCCTGATAATTCTTTCTTGGCCGCTTGAACTTTGTCATTTTTCAAAATTAAAACCCTAAGTTCTTAAACCATTCGTACTTCAGGATTTAGAATAGGAGACGGTTTTTGCTTGCTGTTGAGGGTTATGTTTGCAGGAGGTAGCTAATTAAAATATCTTGGTGCCTGTCCCCTAAGGGATCTCTTTCTCCCACATCAGGAGTATTCAGACTCACTTTCCTGAAACTTGTCAGATCCAGGTGAATTTGAGCAACGAAGAACAGCAAAGTGAACAAAAACTCAGCAAGGAAAAACTCCACACGTAGCTACTGCAACCATGAGACCATTTGATTTTATCTATGCAAGAAAAATGTATTGGTAAACTAAGAGGTCACTTTTCTTAATTAGGGTAATATATTCATGGGCATTTACAACATTACACTCTATTCCTTCTTGTGTGTCTGAAATACTTTATAGAAAGAAAGAGCTTTCCAGTCAAAATGCTTTCTTCATGTTCAGCAAAAGGTGGGGAAGAGTCAGTTACTGGTCCTTCTCATTTTGAGAGGAGGTGCCCTTTCACAGGCTAGTGGTATGTTATTGAGTCTTAGCTTGTACTGCTCACTGCATGACAGGCAATAAATCTAGAGATGAATTGTTGGGGCAAGAAACAGCAACTTTATTCAGAAATCCTGCAAACTGAGAAGATAGTGGACTAATGGCCCAAAGAACCATCTAACCTGAGTTAGGAATCAGACTTCTTTTATATATAGCAAAGGGAGGGGGTGTGACTAGTTGTTGCAAACTTATTGATGTCAGAATCCTTTTTTTTTTTTTTTTTGCCATTGTCAAATTGGTCAGGCCACAATGTTCCTGTAAACCACCACCAAGACAAATGCTATTCTCTGATCTGCAACTTTATCTCTCTATGAATGGAGACGAGTTATACATGTAAAAGTCGGAGCCTTGAGAATGGGGTATCCATATATTTCAGTCTACAGGCAACATTCTTAATGCAAAAGCAATAGAATATGAAGTGGATCCAATATGTAGTCAGATTTGTTCTTCTTACTGCACTCAGGTGTTCAGGAAACAGTGAGTTTAAAGGGGTGGCTTTTCCCTCATGTCTTAGACGGTAAAGAATCCACCTGCAATGTGGGAGACCTTGGTTCAATTCCTGGCTTGGGAAGATCCCAAGAAGGGAATGGCTACCCACTCCAGTATTCTTGCCTAGAGAATTCCATGGAGAGAGAAGCATGGCAGGCTATAATCCATGGGATTGCAAAGAGTCGGACACAACTGAGGGACTTTCACTTTTCACCTGAAGGATTGATAATTCTCAACGTGTTTGGATTAGCTGGCATCAGTAATAACCCTCTTCTTCAAGAATAAAAAAATGTATAAAGATTAAACTAAACCTTCAATAAGGTATGTAACACAACCTTATAATTGAGCTCCCCAAATGGATGGAAGCAGTCCATGAAGAAGAGCCTTCATCATTTTAATAATGGATAGCCATGATTAAAAGTGTTGGGAAAGAGGCTATTTAGTCTTATTGGGTAGAAGCACTGAGTCCTTGGATGAATCATGAGCAGTGAATAAATGACCTACAATTTTCCCTTCTGCATCCCTCTTTTACGGAGAAAAACCCAGAGTGAACTGGAAATGAATTTAAATGTATTATAAATGAATGAATAAATGAATAAAAAAGAAGCCAATCAGAAGAGAGCAACTGATATGCCCTGCCCCTCCTTTGAGAACAGTGAGAGAAGTAAATGAGATTATGAGCGTAAAACGGTTTGGAAAACATGTCTCAGACTTCTATTAATGTTATCTCACTAGTAGTGGAGTGAGTGTCTAGGCCTCCTGGCCCTCAAATCTGCCCATATGCTACCAAGCCTCTTTATGTCTCAGAGAAGCAAAAATAAGGCCCAAGATCTTAAACAATGTGGACAAGATTACAAACCACACCTGGAGCCCAATTCTCTTACATCAAATCCCCTTTTCCAAGTGCAGCCCTGAAGCACTGGTTCCATGGGTCCTGGATACTGAGGATGGTCACGACCCAAGCACAACGATGACAACCATGTTCCCTGATGTCCCAGCCAGTCACTGTTAAGACTGTGTAACTTATTCAGTTTACTCAAGCAGATGGAGATGCCCCAGTAAAAAATCCAAACTAATCCTTTAGCTGTCATGAATATATGAAACAGGAACACAAATGTCTTAACACGTAATGGCAATATGCTGACTGAAAACTTTGGAGGTTTGCTGTCAACCACTAATACTACTACTAATAATACTCTTTATAAAAATGTTATTGCATGGTATATAAAATATATCTAAATAAAGCTGCTAAAATGGAATACCAGACCACCTGACCTGCCTCTTGAGAAACCTATATGCAGGTCAGGAAGCAACAGTTAGAACTGGACATGAAACAACAGACTGGTTCCAAATAGGAAAAGGAGTACGTCAAGGCTGTATATTGTCACCCTGCTTATTTAACTTCTATGCAGAGTACATCATGAGAAATGCTGGGCTGGAAGAAGCACAAGCTGCAATCAAGATTGCTGGGAGAAATATCAATAACCTCAGATTTGCAGATGACACCACCCTTATGGCAGAAAGTGAAAGGGAACTAAAAGGCCTTTTGATGAAAGTGAAAAAGGAGAGTGAAAACATTGGCTTAAAGCTCAACATTCAGAAAACTAAGATCATGGCATCTGGTCCCATCACTTCATGGGAAATAGATGGGGAAGTGGAAGTGGTGTCAGACTTTATTTTTGGGGGGGCTCCAAAATCACTGCAGATGGTGACTGCAGCCATGAAATTAAGACACTTACTCCTTGGAAGGAAAGTTATGACCAACCTATATAGCATGTTAAAAAGCAGAGACATTACTTTGCCAGCAAAGGTCCATCTAGTCAAGGCTATGGTTTTTCCAGTGGTGATGTATGGATGTGAGAGTTGGACTGTGAAGAAAGCTGAGGGCCGAAGAATTGATGCTTTTGAACTGTGGCGTTGGAGAAGACTCTTGAGAGTCCCTTGGAGTGCAAGGAGATCCAGCCAGTCCATCCTAAAGGAGATCAGTCCTGGGTGTTCATTGGAAGGACTGATGCTGAAACTGAAATTCCAATATTTTGGCCACTTGATGCGAAGAGCTGACTCATTGGAAAAGACCCTGATGCTGAGAGGGATTGGGGGCAGGAGGAGAAGGGGACGACTGAGGATGAGATGGTTGGATGGCATCACCGACTCGATGGACATGAGTTTGAATAGACTCCGGGAGTTGGTGATGGACAGGGAGGCCTGGCGTGCTGCGATTCATGGGGTTGCAAATAGTCAGACACGACTGAGCGACTGAACTGAACTGACTGAAAATGGATGAACTGATGTTGCCATTTATAAAGTATAACATACACATTTTGAAATAGAAAACGCATTGTTGTAAAACTTAAGCCCTTTATTTACTACAACACAGAACATTTTATTTTTAGACATCAGTGGGTTTTATTTTGTTACATTCTCACTTATTCAGCTGAAAACAAAAGTCAGGAAAATCACATGGTGACTAGTAGTAACCTATCAGGAAATGAGAGCAAGCATGTAGACCATTCTTTGTTTGGATCGATGTTAAATCAACTGATTGGTAAAGCCTTTCTTTCTGTCTAATAATTAGGACAGATTCCCTGTTGCAAATAGTGTTGCACTAGGAGTCTTCTACAAATAAAGGCTTTCACTTTATACATGGAATAGTACAAAATATAGATAGCTTTCTTTGACTCAATTGGATTTGTTCATCCTAAACTGCTGTGAGATTCAGAGAAACGGATATTTTCTCATATGTTGTGCAACAGTTTCTTCAAATATCTGCTCATGCTCAGTTAAACTAACAAGACATCCAGACACTCCATCATCTCAGTGTGGGACACAGAGGTGGCCACATACATCATACACACATATATAATTAGGAGACTCGGGGAATATGCTAAGAGGGCAAGAAATCATTTGCTTCTTCGGTTATGCTTTAGTGACGAATATACATTTCTTGGTAACCAGCCAATCAGTTTTGGAAATAATATCAGACCATGACCCAATAAAGTCTAACAGCCTATCCCTTGCTTACATGCACCATTAGAGCCTGTCACCAATCACTAGCCATCTCTCTCAGGCATACTTTCCTTTCTCTGGAAGCAGAAATACCCCAAAATAAATTTGCCCTTCTCCAGAAAAAACACACTCCCCATTCAACAGCAAATCCTGATCCAAAGAAAAAATTAATTCAGGCAGGCAGTTTTGATCTCTTAGAAAAGTTTCCTTAAAAATGACAAATGTGTGTGATGGTTAAGCCATCCAATATGTCTGCATGCTGCCTTATTAAATTAAAAACACTTGATTTATTTATACAATGTCTTCAATGGCTTACAGATTAAGATCCTAGAAACAATACATGTCTTATAGCAAAAAATATACATATAATAATCCACCTATAGTTTATATAAATGATGAAATGCTCCTGAATATATCTATATATCTATATATGTACACATATATACTCTGTGTGTGTGTTTGCGGAGTCAGCACACAAATATTGCAGTCTTTCATTGGCTCTTCCACTTCAGTGTCAAGGACACTAGGTTCAAAGTCTGAAGGAGTAGAACAAAGGTCACCGCTGAGGACAGAGGACTGGCTTGATGCACCTTCCTTTGTGAAGGACCAAATTTGCTGGGCAGTGACACCCAGCAACGCATGGCTTATTGCAGGGGCCAATCTCATTCCAGTTGTCACAGGTCTTGGCACATCCTGGGCCACAGGTATCATACACGGCCCCATGCTTACACTGGGTGGCTACAAAAGAGAGGAGATGAAGCTGAGATGTGAGGAAACAGCCAGGTTAATTCACCCTCAGCCCCATGCCATTTCCGCAGGCTCATGTCACTCATGGCACAGGTCTCCCCACAGCACAGGTGCACATCTGCCACCTAACAGAAGAAGAACAAGCACCCAGCACTCCCAGACACCCTGGGAATCACCTGCACCTGGAAAAACAACATGATACATCCACCTGCTAAGCCAGTGAACTTCAAAATGAAAGAAAATGAGAAAGCTTTATTCCCAGATAGGAAAGACTACACATTAGTAAAGCTACATGTAAATCTACAGGCTATCTAGGTATTGAGAATGGTATGAAAAGTTAATTCCAAATAGTTCTTCCAGTTGTTGAGCTGCAATGAATAGGAATCACTGTTGCAACTACCTTGATATTCAGATATACAGAATTACACATACAGGAGATGCAGCTTCGATCCCTGTGTTGGATGATTCTCTGGAGTAGGAAATGGCAACTCATTCCAGTATGCTTGCCTGGGAAATCCCATGGACAGAGGAGCCTGGTGGGCTACAGTCCATGAGGTCGCAAAGAGTCTGACACGACTTAGTGACTAAACACCACCACCACCAACTCATACAGGAAAAAAATCTGCCAAGGATATTGGAAATGTGTGACATACTTTAATCTAGTTATCATGTGTTGAATTAATCAATTTGAAACTAGTTAGAGCAAGAGATGGGTAGAGCCCAACAGAGAAAAATTAGATGTGTGACTGGGGAGAGGGAAATAGCTGGCTGGCTGGTCAGAGAATATGAAAATGATGTTGTAACCAAAATCATAGCAATTTACTCTCCTTGTTCAGTTGGAGCTAAAATGATTTTGACAGTATTCTGAGACTTATCAAAAATTCATGAATAGATTTGTCAGAAAAAAAATACTGCCAGCATTCTGGAAGTTTATGACATGCAGACTTTTCCATCTGAGTTACTTCCAATGACAATCAATGGGGCCACCCCTCATTCTCAGGAGGAGGGATGTTGACACATGTAGGAATTTAGAAGAACCCTCTTGAAGAACAGTAATAACCATCCAAACTCCATCTGTAGCTATCTTTGTCTTCAGTTCATGGCACACAGCTCCTAGAACACCCGGAAATCTCCAGAGTGTTTGTATGTCAATAGGGCTGGTGGTTGGGGTCCCCAGACAGCTTCAGAATGGGGACTGCTCACCAGAAAGACCAAAGCATGATTAAAGGCTTGGAACTTTCAGCACTTTTTGCTAGGGATGCAGACAGGGACTGGATGTTGAGCTTATCACTTTCAGTCAATGATTTAATCAACCATGCCTACCTAGGGACATTTCCATACAAATCCCTAAATGACTAATGACAGGGTTCAGAAAACTTTGGAACAGGAGGACACATTGAGGTGTTGGGATTATGGTGTACCCGCTCTATTGTGACAGAAGCTCCTGTGTTTGGGGACCCTTCAGGAACTTATTCTCTGTGCCTCTTTATCTGGTTGTTCATTTGTATCCCTTATAATAAATGGCTCAGACAGTTTATCAGAGAATCCCAGCTGCAATGCAAGAGACCCAGGTTCAGTCTCTGGGTTGGGAAGATCCCCTTGAATAGAAATTCACTCTAGTATTCTGGCCTGGAGAATCCCAAGAACAGAAGAGTCTGGCAAGCTATAATCCAAGGAGTAGCAGAGAATAGGACACAACTGAGCAACTAACACTTTCAGTTTACTTTCAAGAGTAAATAAGTATTTTCCAGAGTTTTGTGAGCCCTTCTAGAAAATGATTAAGCCCAAAAGGGAAGGAAGCTGTGAGAACAGCTCTCTGCCCCTACTCTGTAGCCAAGTGGAGCAGAGAGAGGGTAACCTAGGGACTCAGTACTGGACAACCAGCATCTGAAATGAGGTGTCTTATGGAACTGAGCCCTTAAACCTGTGGAGGCTGATGCTAACTATGGGCTGTTAATCTCAAAACTCTAGTCAATGTCCTGTGGTGACCTAAATTGGAAGAAAATCCAAGAAAGAGTGGACATAAGTATACATATAGCTGATTCAGGCTTCCCTGGTAGCTCAGCTGGTAAAGAATGTGATTGCAATGCAGGAGACCCTGGTTTGATTCCTGGGTCAGGAAGATCTGTTGGAGAAGGGATAGGCTACCCACTCCAGTATTCTTGAGCTTCTCTAGTGGCTCAGTCAGTAAAGAATCTGTCTGCAATGCGGGAGACCTGGGTTCAATCCCTATGTTGGGAAGATCCCCTGGAGAAGGGCATGGCAACCCACTCCAGTCTTCTTGCCTGGAGAATCCCCATGGACAGAGGAGCCTGGTGGGCTTCAGTCCATGGGGTTGCAAGGAGTCAGACATGACTGAGCACCTGGGCACAGCACAGCACACAGCTGATTCACTTTGCTACGCGGTAGAAACTAACACAACATTGTAAAGCAACTGACTTCTCGCAGACACCTTCTCTCTCTTAGGCTTCTTTACTGCCTCTTTAACACTAAAGGTTCAAATCGCCTCCAAGACCCTTTCCCTGACATTCTTGTCTCTTCTTATTAATTCTCTTCTCCTACCTTCCCTTCTTCTCTCTTCCCTTCCCTCTCTTTCTCTCTCCATCAGTTATTACAATATTAGCTCTAATTCCCAGTCAAAACACTCTGAAAATGATTATCATTAGCTTGGATTCTCTTCCCAAACCAATCATTTTCCAAGTCTTAATTCAAGCATCACCTCCTTCAAGTAGCTTCCTGGATCTCTCCAGGATACCCTTCCCTGCTCTGCATCCATCAGCACTTCTCACATTATAGTTACCTGCTTACTTGTTTTAATCCCCCAGTTACTGTATATCTGTGGGCTTCCCTTGTGACTCAACTGGTAAAGAATCCGCCTGCAATGCTGGAGACCTGGGTTTGATCCCTGGGTTGGGAAAATCCCCTGGAGAAGGGAAAGGCTACCCACTCTAGTATTCTGGCCTAGAGAATTCCATGGACTCTATAGTCCATGGGGTCGCAAGGAGTCGGACATGACTGAGCGATTTCATCTCACTGTGCATCTATAGTTCCTATTTGGAGATGCTCACAAGAGTCTCCTAAGGGTCTTTTAAAAGACGTATATTCCTCAGTCCCTTCCCTAAAGATTTTTGCTCTGTGTCTACAGCGGAGCCTTGCGCGGCTGTAAATTTTAAAGGTTCCAGGGGTCACTACAACAAGCACCCTTGTTTGAACAGAATGAACCACCGAAGCTGGGGCTCCTGAGGGCAGAATCCTCGTCTTCCATGATGTAAAGTTCTGGCACAAGGCCAAGCACAGAGGAGCAGCTTAATAAATGCCTGTGCCTGTTGGATGATGATTTAATCTTAATGAAGTTCCATCCATCATCTTGATTCCCAATTTCGATTACATTTGGCTGGCCTTGAGTTCATTTTCCACTCTGCTGCTTCCAGAATGCCTCTTTCAACTCACTTTTCACTCCAGATACTTTATTCCCCTCAGATCTCGCAAAGATCCCTCCTACTATGAAAACTCGGTAGAATTTCCTGTCTCTCTCACCCGTGTTCTTTCCTTTCCCCCCTTCTCCTAGAGACATGCATTCCCCCACGTCTTTTCCTCTCTCTGACCTCTCAAGTCTTTCTTCTAACTGCACGACATACTTTCCTACTGCTTCTCTGCGACATCCTACCTTTGACTACTGAACACTGATATTTCCCTCACCGTTTGTAGGTAGAAAATGCAGAACTACTAGGGGAAAAGTGGATTATTTTCACCATTGCTATTCAATTCAAACTAAATCAATAAACATTTACTGAGTATCTACTTTGGGGCAGGCATCCTCTTAGGCCAGGGAATCAGATGTGAATCAGATATCATCTCTGAGCTTTAGTCTCAGGAGCCTGGCTGGACTTAAAACCAAATGGGTAATTTGAGTCAGTTCTAATGGGGTGGATGAACCTAGAACCTATTATACAGAGTGAAGTAAGTCAAAAAGAGAAAGATAAATATCATATTCTAACACATATATACAGAATCTAGAAAAATGGTACTGAAGAATTTATTTACAGGGTAGCAATGAAGAAACAGACATAGAGAATAAACTTATGGACATGGGGAGAGGGGATGAGAGGGTGAAATGTATGGAAAGTGTAACATGGAAACTTATATATGTAAATACATATGTATGTAAAATCCATATGTAAAATAGATAGCCAATGGGAATTTGCTCTATGGCTCAGGAAACTCAAACAGGGGCTCTGTACCAACCGAGAGGGGTGGGATGGGTAGGGAGATGGGAGGGATGTTCAAAAGGGAGGGGATATATGTATAACCATGGCTGATTCATGTTGAGGTTTGAAAAAAACAACAAAATTCTGTAAAGCAATTATCCTTCAATAAAAAAATTAATTAATTAAAAAAAAAAGGGTGAAGGAGACACAGAAATGGATTCTTAATTAAATGCAAGATGAACTCATTAGACAGTGAGAATGAAGTACAGTGGAACAGTAAGAGAGACACCAACTCAACACCGAGGGCTGGTTAAGGATTTAGAAGGACTTCAGAAAATGGATCCCACTTAGATCTTAAAAGACGACAAGACATGCCAGACAGACAATGGCAGAGGTCTTCCAGGCAGAAAGAGAACACGGTGCCAGGAGAGGGGGTGGGGGATCAGAGAGGGTGCAATCGGCGACAATAAGCGGCCGTGACCCAGTCAGAGACGGGAGGATCCTTGGTTTGTTGGAGGAGAAGCAAGGAGTTTGAGCATGAGAGTGGGAGGAGACAAAGGCAGAGAGGTGGGCAGGGGCCGTAATCCCTGAGGGAGGCTTAGAAGGGCTTTAGGGAGATAATATGATTGAATGTGCCTTCAATTTGGCACAACTTTTATACAGTCCTGGAAAGTGAACCCTGACTTGGAGCTTGTTTTATCTTCCATGCATCCAATGTTTTTCAAACTTGTAAAAGGCAAACAATACTTACTGACAATATAAATGTGATCTGATTCATACATG